TGTGTGTGTGTGTGTGTTCTTTTTGGAGGTATTGTTGTTGTTGTTGTTGGTGGTGGTTGTGTTTCTTTTGTTTTTGTTGTTGTTGTGATTGACTACTCCTTGGAGAGGATGTTGTTTTTATATGTTGTTGTTATTGTTGTTGTTATTGTTGGTGGTGGTGTTTTACGGAACGGATTGTTCAGCACGTGAGACGTGTATTTACTAATGTCCTGTCATGTTGTGCGTATGCGTGAGTACTCCTAATCTTTGTAACATCCACTGGCATTTGAAACGACCAAGACAAATTTCTCCTTGCGAGATGAATAAAGATTGCCTTTGTCATTACTGTGTTGGGAACAGGCGTCGGACCCACAACATTATCATGCTGTAATACGGGGTGCCCACTACTGGTGGGATCGGCCGATCGGGCCGATCGGGCCGATCGCCCCGACTCGATCACCTCAAAAACAAACGTGTTCGTTTTCAGTTTCAGGCGATCGAGTCGGGCGATCGGCCCTATCCAGCCGTAGTGGGCACCCCGTATAACATAGCTCTGCCAGATAAGTCTTGGGGAAGTAATCGAACACTTCAGGCGTGCATGACTGCCACAGACAAAAGTCGAACCTGTAGTAGGCCTAGCCTTTAGCCAAATCTCTGTTGGCTTGGTTTGTAATATAAGTCGTTTACTATTTATGTGTTGTTGTTTGTTTTTGTTTTGTTTTTTGTTTTTTTGGAGGGGTATTTTTTTTCTCTCTCCATTTAGCTCTCCATAGCAAAGCAAGTATCAGTTTCTTGTTGTTGCCTCACACCTACCTACCAGTTGGAGGAATTGTATTAGATAAAAACACCAACAGTTAATGTACAGTTCCTTAATTGCAAGAAAATTATGTCTTGTAGTTGAAGAAAATTTACCTGTCTGTAAAAGTTGCTGGTTTGAGAACGGCAGTGCCATGGTATTAATTGATCGCTTTTAATGAAGCACAAGGGGGCTATCCCGAAAAATGCTGTTTTGAGAAAATCGAAGATAAAGTTTTTGCCCCTTGTTCAGTTTCGGTAAAAAAGACAAGGAGAGTTTTCTCTATAGCCAAACAAATATACACCCCGATGAAACCAAACATCTCCTATAGGTAGGGCAATGCCCACTTTTGGTGTCGGTCAAGATTTCTGGAGACCCCTGAAAACTGTGTTAGCACGCTTGTCCTTAAAAGCGACCAATTAATGTTAGTCTTGCATTAAATAGTAACGTTCATGTTGTCACGCAGTTGTAGTGGTGACGTTCAGAGCTCGTACCGCGGCCTAGTTGGCTTCTAAAGTTTATCGTTGGAGGATCGGTCAATTGCTTTATCATGCTCCGTCATTAACCTGCTTTTGCTTTGTCATGAACCTGCTCGTGGGTGGCTGGCGGGTGCTCTGGTGTGGTTTGATCCGTCTTTCCTATCAAACATCTATCATCCTGATATCTCCTCCTTTTTTGTGTTTGTTACTCTCTTGTAACACCTCTAATCTTCGGCACTTATGTGACCTTATTGTATTGCAAGTGCCTTAAAACTCTTACTAAAACAAACAAAAATAAATAAAAAAATAAATGAACCTGCTCCGTCATGAGCCTGCTCTGTCATTAACCTGCAATGTTATGCTCTGTCAAGCGTTCATTTATACTTTAATTATTTTCTTAAAATCCTTTTCTCTACCTCTGTCCTCTTCATTGTAAATATCGTAGTCTGGCTTGTAAAGAACTTCTTTTTTCGCTCATGTAAAGAAAACATAAGATACAATCATACGACCGTGTTTTTTTGTGTGTATGTGTATTTGTGAATGTGTGTGTATATGTATGTTTGTGTATGTGTGTGTGTGTGAATGAGTGTGAGTGTATGGTGTTTGTTTCTGCATGTGTGTATGTGTGTCTGTGTATTCGTGCGCTCGCATGTCATTGTACTTGTTTGTTTACATTATGGTCTTACGTATTTTTGTGTGAGGTTTATTGACACTTTGCTTTCAGGTGGTGATTCACGCCAACTTAGCATAAATTTCGGAAAAAGCTTTTGTTGATAGTTCTTGAAAGGGATTAATAAAGATGTGTGTGCGTATGGGAAATAATGAAAGAAAAGGAGGTGGAAGGGAGAGGGTGAAAGGGGTGAAAAAAGAGTGGGAAGTGAGGCTTTGCACTAGCTAGAAGCTTTTCTCGCCTTTGCTTTCAGCCTCGACTAATTTATTATTTTAAGATCTGAGAGCGATGATGTTTATTATTTCATTTTGACCAACCCCAGAGCTGTCCATATTTCCTTTGCAATTGCCTCTTTTGAACTCGAGTAATACAAAAAGATAAATTAATGCAATAAGATTTTTTTAAAAATCAAAGTATTACACAATAACACACGGAGCAGAACAACTTAGTGGCACCCACCCCATTTCCTCTTTTGTTTTGTGTCTATTTTCCCTAAAACTAGTTTGTTTCTTTCATGGGAAACGTAGCTTTTTTAACCCTATCCTTACGTCGTGTTTTACTATCGTATCCATACGACATGGGGAACTCTGTGTCACCACTTTCCAAAGAGGAAATTTACTCGTTAATCCGATCCGTACGTTTTGCATAGCAGTCTGTCAAAAATGATTTTTTTGAGAAATACTGATAGTTTTAAAGAGATCTTCGTACTAGAAGTATTTTAAAATGTGAAGAATACAACCCCAAGGGTACAAAATAACCCCACTTCCGAGAAAAGGAATGAATGGAGAACCATGATCGCCGATGCATGTCGTAATTCTAGCACTGGATGATGATTGTGGTAAATAAATAGATAAGATAAGATGAGATAGATAATGGGGATTATGGACATTATGATAATCATGTTGATGAATGTAACTTAAAGTGCTGTAAAACAATGCGTTATATCTCTCTCATTCATCATCAGCTGTTTGTTTTTGATTATTTTCAGTACTAGTGGAATAAAGTGATCCCAAACCCTCTCCTCTTCTTCGGAAGTGATACGTGCTCCTCCGTCATCTTGGGCATCTCTCGGGGATGAGTGGTGAGTACTTAGTAGTACACATTTATAACTTGCTCCATTCATCGCATCCTCATTCTCCCCTCCCGTATCTGTGTGTTGTTTTTTCTTTACTGCTCCCAATAAGATGTCGGACTCGTAACTGAAGGGCCCTGAGTTTGAATCTCGTCTGGGGCCGGACATAGTGTTCTTTGGAAAGATACTTTGTACCACGGGACGACGTGTTCAAAGAAAACAACTGTCAAGGCACCCCGGAAATATCAACTTCTCTAACATCAATAGCTTGAGCGTCCTTGAAACCTTTTGTTTTGTGTGTTTTGTCAGTTTGCTAGCGCGATTGAGGGCGCAAAGGGGCTATCGTGGCACAAGCCGATCGCGCCCGACTCGTCGCCTCAAAATCAAACCCGTTTGTTTTCCGGCGACGAGTGGGACGATCGCCCCCGACCCAACACAGATCCTATCCGCAATGAGCATCCTGCATAATGCTATCAGGTATTTGGCAGGTGTCATGGTAATTTTAAACTGATTTCACTTCCTCAACCGTTCTATAAACAGAGAGTCAGACTCAGGGTTGCGTCCTTAAAGAACAGATGACGTTCATAAAGTGATATGTCGTTGAAGTTTTGCCTGCGACTTTTGAGAAGACAGCCAACCAATAATAGACCAAAACAAATGGATCGGAGGGAAACAGAACTTGTTGTTGGGTTGACTGACAAACGTTTGCTGACTGAGAGCACACGCTCACACAAGTGGAAAGAAAAGAAAAAGTCTTTTGGTTTAAAAAAGCAACGACAGTAACTACAAAAACCCAACCTGTTAAAGAAACGCTATTTGTTATGGCGCTCACTATGTAGGCCTACTGTTTCTAACTTGAGCCGTATTGGTCTGAGTCAGATTCATTACCGCTCCTCATTTTTCTGTTTAAAAAGCCAAACAAAATCAAACTAACAAAAAACAAACAAACTCACGGTGACCACTGGTTATCATCTCTCCGTCTCTCTGTCTCTGTCTCTCTCTCTCTCTCTCTCTCTCTTCTCTCTTCTCTCTCTCTCCTGCCCCCTCTCTCTCTGTCTCTCTCTCTGTCTCACTCTCTGTCTCTCTCTGTCTCACTCTCTGTCTCTCTCTGTCTCACTCTCTCTCTGTCTCTCCCCCCTTCTCTTTCCCTCCCTCTCTCTCTCTCTCTCTCT